ACTGCTTATTATGCCCAAGCGAAGTAACAGGAGAAAATCAATCATTTTTGAAAATTGCTTAAAAACATTGTTGAAAGCAAAGGATTGGCCGGTGAATATTTCAAAGCAACTTTGAAACGACTTGGAAAATGTGCGTTACAATCTCTATTCGCCTGATCAAGTGTTATTTGGCCATTCCAAAGCGCCCGACTGTTTCATTCCCTATCGCCTAATTTATAGCTAAATATTTGTCGAGAAATTATCTCTAAAAGTAAGAAAGATAAGTCCGGGGCCTGTTCGAATACAGGTTTGCCCACTCCTGCGATGGCATTTATACTCACTAACTTGAATATATTAAACTTGCCATGGGCGACGAAACCTTCTGAGGCGTTGAACCAACCAGATTTCAACCTGATGTTTCAAACACGACATATTCCGCTATTGAAATCCTCTTGTATTTGTCTGGGCAAACAGATTCGCCGGGATATCATACACGTCGTCGCTTTTTTATGATTCGCTTTATTCGGCTGCTCCCGTAGGCCGCTGATGTTTTATTCAGGGGAAAACTCCGTCCGACTCCTAATGGGGCACAAACGGCTTTTCGGACGTCCTAAAACGCTGGAACAGCAAGATTTTAAACATGCTGTTAGAGTTGTTTGATAAGAAGCACAACTCCAGAGGCGTACCGTCTGTGTTAAATTGGTGGAAAGCCAGCGACGCTTCATGTTTGTCAAATTGCCACTGAGTTGGAAAGCTACATGTGTACGATTTTTGTATTTTAAACTAGCGAAATGCTATTGATCGTCTTCAAGAACCATCCATTCAAACTCGAAATAAATTTCAGCCACTTCGTTTTCGGTTAGAACCACATGTTGGAATTTATGGACGGCGGTGCCTGGCTGGCACTCGAGTAACGGTCCCGAGACAAAAGCTGTTCCCGGTCTTTATTGGACGAATAAGTGGTGATTTACAACGGGCAAAGGGGTAATTTCATAATAATGTTCGTTGCCATTAACCGGAGAGTAATTAGAAGCGGGAAAATTTATCGGCGAAGATATGTCCCAGTTGCGAGAGGTAGAAAGGGATTAGTTGTGGAGGACGGGCAGGTGGAGCCAGCTCAAGCAGGGGCTTAACCGATGAGAGCTTAAGAGCTGGGAAGAACGTAAATACTGTGAAACTATTGATCTACTTTTTTAAGTTATCTGAGATGGAAATATGACTGAAACTTTTTCTATAGTCATGCCCTGGGTACTCTCACTTAAAAACCTAACCGAGAACGACTGATTTCATAGTCGCCAGAGGCGCTACAGACGATAAAGAGCTACAGATTAAGTCATGAAATAACCCACTGTAGGAAAATATTCTGTGGATGAATGCGA